TTTACACTGTTCCTTTTCTAATGCTTAATGGTTCACCTGAGTTAGCATCTCTCTCTGCTACATGGCAATCATTGTCCTGACTGAAATCAGTTTTGCAGTAACAGAGATGACTGATGACTGTGAGCTCAGGAAAGTAAAAATTGCTAATGCATTAGCTCATCTTCAGCAGAATAGTTTTGAGATGAGTTTCCATCTCTATTTTTTCCCCAGGGAAGATCATTTCTGCCTCCTGTTAACAATTCTACATGGAATATTGCCATTTAGAGGTTTTAACCTTGTCAGAATTATCCAACCACTTGTAAGATTATATTTTTGTCCTTGTGATGAATGACTCTTCAAAGTACTCTTGGATAGTAACCTATTTTAAGTACTTGCGGTTTAAACTGCAGGATACTTGCATAGCCTGATCTTATTGTTAATCTGTGTTTCATAAACTGTTACAGATATTTCAGGCTGTCTCTGTATGTCTTTTATTTGTTTTTCCTCTGTTTTGTTTATATTCCTTTCTTGTTATATGTAAGCAGATTTTGGTTGTTATTAGCTATGTAATAAAAAACTGAATCAACTGAAATTCAATAAAGCTCACTAAATTCTTAAAAAATCTTTTCCACTATAATATTTATAGTCTAGGACTATGCTGCTCACTGGAAACATGAAATGTTATTCAGGTGTTCATATTACTTTGACTTTATATTTCTGGCCTTTTATAATATTGATGGGGACAATTGCTACCTCTTCCTGTAAAGCTGCACTGAGATGTCCACATCATGTACTCAACAAGTTCAAAGTGCCAGACTCATCTGTCAGTGCTCTGCACCTGGATAACATCTTCACCAGAAGAACGTTCTGCAGAATTAAGTAGTGTGGGAGGTGAGGCTATATCTCTGTAAAATTTGAAAGGGGAATCAAAGATTTTCGTGAGGGCAAAAAAGGGGAAGAGCAACTTTACAGTTGTGGTGATGTAATGCTGCAGAGAACAGAGCAGAACAACAGCAACTTTTTCACAACCTGAAAAAAAAAAAAGTATATATCTGAATTGATATTTATCTGTATCCCATATATGAAGATATGTCTTCTTCCCTCCGTTTTTAATTTCTGATAAAATTTTACCTGCTATACAAGATAATTCACTATATTCTAGCTACTTTGAAGCAGTAACAACTTTTTTTTGCATTTAATGTCCTAATTATATATTGGTCATCTATCACTTACATTCAAAAAAATCTTGACAGAATAAAAATGATAAAATTATTTTAAAAAATAAAGGAATAACTTCTATCACAATTTTTAAAAGAATTATATGCTAAAGATTAAAAATTAAAAAATCAGATATTACAAATACAACAAACAATGCATAACAAATAACTACAGTCCTTCTTGTCAAAAGGATATAATGTGAATATGTTCACTGGATTAGATTTGTTTAAGGAAAAGTACAGTAAAGAAGATCAGTCTGAATATTTGCCAGCAAGCATTGGCAGACAGACAAGAAATCTGCAGGTTTATTCTCGACATTTAAAGCAGGAAATAACAAGATTTGTTCTTCATAGATACTGTGGTGCGTTTGTGAAACATAATCTAGCAGCCCAGACTTGCTTTAAGGATCTCACTGTAAATGCACTGATTTACATGAATATCACAGAATATGTAAATACTGAAGCTGTTATTTCTTTGTGAAGTAAAATAACACTGATATTTTAGTGGTGCACTTTTACTTCTGGTATAGAACTTTTACATTAAAATGGAAAATCACTATAGTGCAATAACTAAATAACATTTTCCTAAATATGGGGATGATAGCTCTGAGCCATTGTGAAGGTCCATTTTCACCGACGGGCGTAGGAATGGTCTTTTCTTCTTTGTCCTCTATGTTGAGTACTAACAATACATTATCTCTCAAAAACTATTCTTTTTCTCTTGCTCTTTGACATAAGACCTTTATGGGGAAAGAGCTTTTTGCTACAGAAATCTATAGAATCTCAATAAATTGTCGTGCTTTTCTCGGCTATAATCTCAGCCAATCCTGTGAGAGGACCTGACCACTTGCTAGATCAGTTTATATATTTTATCCATTCACTGCTTAATACAAAATGCATAGACCATTTTGAGCACTTGGGCCAGAACATCTTTCCTGGAAAAGTAATCTAACTGCTACATTATCACTTTCCTCCTGCTTACTCTGCCTGAGCCTGAAGATCTTTCTCTACGACTTCGATAGGAAATGGAGAAAGCATCCATCTTTCCCTATCTAGTAGCTAGTATTGGGATTTGCCCTCTTTATGGAAAGAGGAATATCTGGGTTTCAATGCATTTAGAGAAGGAATTTCTTAGGTAACAGATTTAGTCTCTAGAACATTTTTAAAGGATTAGGAAACATTACAATTCGGTAGGCAGATTTTCAAAGAAAATAGCAGAAATATCTGATCTTGTGTGTTAGATGTGCTCAGCACAATTGCAGCTACTAAATCCCAGGATTAGTTAGAAAAACATCATCTTTTTGGTTCATGTTCAAATTTAGGTATGATCAAGGAAAATGAACTGTTCAATTAAGGATGTGGGCATGACCAGAAGCCCAAGTCTCGTGAGCATAAGCTTCTTGAAAGTAACTGAGATTACACTTTAGGGAAAGCTGCTTTAAATTTAAGTATTTTGTTCCCAGTTTTGCTTTGACTTCAATGATTCCCTGAGAATCTCAACACTGCAAAATGCAGAGATCCACAGTCTATTATCTTGGTATTAAGTATGTTCTGTAACCTTTTATCATAGATATCCTACAAAGTCCACAAATCCTAGTACCCTTCAAAGGAGCTACATAATACTAATACATTGGTGTTTCGGTAACCAAATTTCTCCCCAGGTCTCTCTGCTTGTTTGTTTTCCAATCCTTTCCATATGTCAGACTCACTTATTTTCTGGCCTCAACACACGCAGCAAAATCACACCAGTATAGCTTTGGTGGAGGCTTTGCTAGTAATAACTCTTTTTACAAGTTTGATCTTGAAAAGTGTTTAATTTTCTCAGTGTTCACTGAAGACAAATGTGCAGGTGTGGTTGGCAGGACTGTCTCTTATACAAGTAGTTACCAGTTTACACAGTCAGGTAGACGAATTCATAGTGCTTAGTATTCTTATTGAAAACAGGTGAGTGATCTCTCTGATCTACGTCAAGAAATTTTTTCTCAGTTATGAAAAATTTGCCTTCAAGATAGCATGAAAGTAAGCAGATGAAGATACTACAATGTACTTTTGTGGCTGGATATAACTAGAATTTTGAAATGTAATTGTCTGTTTGTTTGTTTCTGGACAAACTTGAAAACAAAATACATTGGATGTTTTGCAAATGTTTTAAAAAATATTTTATTTGGGACTAATGGACTATTTCCAGTTCTGATTTTAGTCCATTCCTAGTTTGATATCAAGCAAGAAATGTTCTGAAACAGCAGCCTGTTGGATTTACTTGGCGAGAGAAGCACCATCTACTCATTGCTGTGCAGTCTTGCACTAGGTGTATCACCGCCAAGAATGGTCTGTATATTAAATTTAGACAAATAAAACTTACATTTTCTGTTTTTTAAATCAGGACAGACACATTCACATGCCAAGTGTTTTGACCTCTCCAGTTTAAAAATATTACAGAAAGCTTAGATATTAAAAATGTTCTCCACGTATTTTTAATTATTTTTGAAGATAGCTTAGGAAAAAAACCAGTTGTGAGGGTGCATGACTCCTTTAATAAAAATTTTATCATCTAGGGAACCACGTGAAGAAACTAGTTGCTTTTGACCTCTCCTGAACTGAACTTGGTCAACTACAACAAAACATATTTACTGAATTACTAAACTGCTTCATCACCACATATATAAATAATAATTTAAAATGAAAATGAGTTGTGGAAATATGTCTGTTGGATTGAATTCAGCTACTTAATGAATGCTAAATTTCTTATTAAAATGATTCTTATTAAAATTTATACTAATATAGCTATTGAATGATAAATTTATTTCAAGTAAGGATGGTTGTGAGGATAAACTGAAGGGAATTTGCTGACTTTTATCAAGAGTGACTTTTGTTTCTTCTAAATAAAACAATTCATCACAATATAGCCAAAGGAACCTAGTTCCTTTTCTTCACACCCAGCTTTGCTCTTTTTGAGGCAGTCCTAGGGCACTCTCTGTAATGAATTCTCTAGAGGTTTCCCAAAGCAATGATTGTCAGCCTCTCTGAACTGCAAGCCAGACTGTGCTCTGAACCATCTGCTCTCAAGAAGAACCTGGTTGCTTGCCTCTTTCATTCTTCTTGGGGTCTGATTCCAAGTTTCTACAACATTACACAGGATGAATTTCACTTTCTCTGTGTGAGTTTAGCCTGGACCATAAACTGCTAAACCCCAGCTTGCCTTAACACTTTAGCATATTTCCTGAAAAAATCAATAATCACTTGGAAAATTATGAATATGCATTTTACAGACTTTGTACACTTCTCACTGAATTTAGTGGCAATATTTTCTATGAACTAAGTTGAGATGGTGCCGGGGTTAAAAAAATCAATGGAATCCCCCCAAAAAACAAAAGCAGAACAATGTTGTGCATACAATATGCATGCAGTTCAACGTGCCTGAGTGAAAAACAAGGAAAAAAATTTCAGTAATTTTTCAATTTGCATCTGTTCATTCCTTTCTTCACATTTACAGTTAATGTTCTAAGCATTGTTTTTTCCTTTTCAGAAAATGTTTTGGAGAAAGCTTACTCTCTCCCATCCTCACCTTTTGATATATTGAGCACAAAGATTATGATGTAAAGATTCATATGCAAGTCTCCTAGAGAGCTGGCTTATTTTGAAAATTGTCCCCAGGTGTTTTGTGTCTCTTTCTTACTCAAAGATTATATGATTAGCATTTTAATGTCTCACAAATTCTTGTATAGTTCCCTAGGAGAATATGAAAATGAAGCCATGATGTTAAGCTCTTTGGTATTTATCACGCACACTCTGATTGCATTTCAGAGCTCTGGGATTTAAACAGGACGTCAGTCTTTCATAGCCCGTTTGGATATCTTGGTCTTCATATAATGCTCCTGGATGAGTATCAAGAGCGACTGTTCGTGGGAGGAAGAGACCTCTTGTACTCCCTCAGTTTGGATCGAATCAGCAACAACTACCGAGAGGTGGAGTAAAAAGATGTTATATGTTCGTCATTTTGTGTTACAATGCATAGCATAGAATATCAGAGTTTGCATGACTGGAAATGAGATAATGGTGTTCTTGTAAACACTGACATTTTGTGCATGAACTTCAACGTCATGTTTGTCTGTAAGAAAATATATCAATTATCATTTTATTTCCAGGAACATCTCATGTGGGTTGTTCTCAGTGAAGAGAGCTGCGAGACCCTGAAAGTTATTTCTCACTGTTTTTCAGCATGTTTACTAAAATTTAGAATATCATACAGCACTTTATACACACCTGGTGTCTACATCTCTGACATGTAACTAAGGAACGATCTTTCCCTTTTATTATAGTTTTTCTATAACAAAAAACAAAAAACAAAAAACAAAAAAACAAAAAAACACCAAAAACACAAAATGCAAAAAACACCAAACATATACACCCTCCCTCTTCTCCCCTCATCCCCAAGAAAAGTACATAAACTATAACTAAAATCTTTTTGATTATTTTCTACCTCTGTTTAGAAAATGCATCACTGGCTAAAAGCCAGTGCTGGTAAGTAGTGACTGAAAATTTCATTTGAAGCCTACTCAGAGATTTGTGGGAGAAGGGTGGTTCATGTCATAATCATACCAGTGAGCTTGGTACATGATAGATACCGCAGCTGATTGGCAAACTAGCAACTGAAGTAAAGAGACTTGAATATTTGTTGATGTGAGCTCTGGCTTCCTTCTGCACTTGGTAGATAGGACCGGAGGCATGTGGTGGTGAAATGAGGTTGTGGGACCACCACTCTTTCCACAGTGCTGCTGACTAAGAATAAAAGATGCTTTGAAATACTTCAGTTTTCCTGGTTTTTAAAATTTCTTCTTTGTTTTGATATATTTTCATTCATTCTCAAATGATTAAATGAATGAAAATGCAGGTAAATAAAGTACTCTAGAGAAAAAAGACTTTTGTTAATCTTTGTACTCCAATGATCACTAGGCTTGTGTATAAAATTCTTTTATTTTTCCCCTACTTGTAAGTGAAAAACATATTAACATGCCAACACCCTGGTCAGCTTTGCACTAAGTGGCCGTTCTTATCTCCATTTGCTCCATGACTGTGAAAGGATATGTTTTATCCTTTTTATAAACAGTTTCAGCAAGGTAATCTTGCAAGGTAACATAGAGAAATGGGAACACTCAGAGAGACTATCTGAGATTTTATCTAAATCAAATATATTAAAACAACACTTTTTAACTCCTCGCAGTGCACTACTACATATTGAGCTGTGTTCCTGCACAGTGAGGTATAAGTAAACTTCTTTTCTATTTGATAAAAATTATTAATATCCTGTGACATGATATTAGAGGTCAGGGATATGAAGACATTCAAGAAGCAGCTATTTTTATAAAATGAGCTTTTCTTTCCTCCTCTTCTTTCCCATCTGGTAGTAAAATCTGTATGGGGAAAGATGATAGGATAAATTTTTTTACACTTCTGTCCAACCACCATTGTCACATATGGATACACTCTTAAATTCGTTACACTATTTCTTGTTGTTTTTAGATAGAAGATCAGCTCTTTACTCTGAAACTATATTGTCTGTCTTGAGATCTGTGCACAGGACATGACAAATTAATGGAAGCTCTGCATGCCTGATTTTATGATGTGCAAAAGACAAGACACTGGAATAAATGGAGCTTGACCTTACACATTTGGAAACATGACCTCACTGGATCTCAGCTCCCTTGTCATATTCCTTTTCTCTTTTCCCAAAGTTTACGCAGCACAGATCTCATTCAGTAATAGCTAGGAAAAATTTAAGTTTCCCACTGCGATATCAGGAAAAGTCTAGAATGAAACATTTATGTTATATTAGAGCTTAATTAATGAGATATGCTAAGTAAAGTTCTTGGGAAAAAAAAAAAAAAAGAGAGAGAGATATGTTGATTCATTATTATCAAAGTTTTATATTAAGCTTCCCTTAACTATGTGTTGGTTAGCCTTTGACCTTTTTTTCCAACTGAAGATTTTAGTTTACTTAATCTAAAATATACCAGCTTAATCTAAAATACCAGCTATAACCTAGCAAAAATATAAGAAGGAGGCAAGTTTCTGGGTTTAATTCTCTCTCTAGGATACAAGACATTTATTTCAGATATTTGGCATGTTTGGATAGACTTCATTGATCTTTTTTTTTCTGCATTCTAGAAAGTAGTTGATGTGTTTTAATCCATTGGCATCATATTTTCTACAATTTACAATACAAACATGCACTCTAAAAAACAAACTAAACCCCACTCCCAGTCAGAAATATATCTCTTCTGCCACAAAATGACTGACCCTGCAGTTCCTTAGATAGCAGGATTATTAGGAGTTCTCCAGAAGAAAACAAAATGCTGAGTGGACATAAAATGCCTTTTCTTTGAGAATTATCGTCTGCCAAAATAATCCAGCATTTCCAACAGACTCATCTTATATGAGATACGTATCCTATAAATCTGCATTTAATAAACAGATTTAAGTTTCTTAAGGTTCAGCACAGTTTAGCTGTCAGACATGAAGAAGCACTCTGAAAGATAGATCAGAGGTTTCTTTTGGTATACTATTAATTGTTTTTGTATATACCTACCAAAATTATATTAGGCACATATTGTTCAGAGCAGCATTAATACACATTAAAGAAAAGATGAGTGCAAATGGAAAATATCAGAGAAGAAAACTATTCCTGTTGCAGTGTCTGGGAAATCTGGAGTTCTGAGTAGAGATTTCAACCATGGCATAGTCCTTCTATGTATCTTAGTTCTTCACCTGTCATATTTCTTTCACCTACTTTGTATTTGTTTTTATTTGTATTTGTTTGCTTATGGTATTCAGAAATCTTGCTTACAGTGTTTAGTATGTCTTACCATTAGCATTTGAAACAAAGCTACTGTCTATGAAATGTGGATATTAGTATTTACAGAGAATTAAAGCCAGACAAGTACTTGAAACCATGTGTAAAGGCAAATCTTCAGAGTTCCCTCCACGTGACCTTGACTTTCTCTCCAGATATAATTTTTTTTCACACCACTTTTAGAATCAAACATTATACATATTTCAGATTTGATCCAAATTATTTAAGTCTTGTAATGATAAACAAGCTGATAGAGAACTTATTTGATATCTGGTGCCAATTTTAAAAAGTTAATTTTATTGATGACCAGAGCAAGTCTTTTCGACAGCAAATCAATCAATGCTGGTAGCTCATTGCGAGTGATCTAACAGCTCACAGAAAAGGATAACTGTTGATTCTACTTATTCTCTTGTAGGAAGGAAATTAAAATGTATTCCCTATTTGTCCAAAAACTCTTTACCGATAGCTGTTTATCATAGCTTCTTCAAAGCGTTCACAAAGGGCTTGCTATTAAGACAAGCATTCCTGCATAAGCTTGTGCAGACAGCTTTCAATGTGCAGTTTCTGGTCCATTATGAGATAACTTCAGATTAGGATTTATACAGACATTGCAAAATGCAATAAAATCTCCACAGTATATCATGCCTTTCTTACTCTCTGGTAGAACTAAGTGTATGAGCTAAGCTTCAGAGCAGGCTGAACAGAAGGCTGCAAGAGCAGACATTGCTTGCATCTCCTTTGAATATCACACAGGAAAATATACAAATGGAAATAAGAAGTACATGTTTTAGCAGTGAACTTGATTATTCCCTGAAATTAATTCCCAAGAGTTAAGATGATATGTATGTCGATACAAATAACATCTACCACACAAAAAGTTATTTTTTTCAGAATTTGTGTTTCAGACAAAAACAATCTGTGTGTTCATTAAGCACAATTTACTAATTCAAGACAATGACTGGAAGGTTGAATTGCTTAATTGCTCTGCAGTGTTCTAGTGTTCAGTCTAGCTCAGACAGGAGTTCATTTTAGCTAACAGTGCTATAAAGTTCATATAGTTTCCTGAAATTAGCTTTCATTAGACATGCTATCTTGTTTTTTGAGACCAGTGACTGAACAGGAAAGCTGTTTGGAGATACTAATTAGGATTCCACATCCAATTAAATTTTGGTTCCCCTCTGAATTTACTCAGTAGCTATCATTTGTACTGCCCTATGAATTTTTTTCTTTTTTTTTTTTTCCTTTTTTGTCTTTAAACATAGCTTTTTTTCCTTCAATACAATGCTAGAATTATACCATTTGGTTTTCAAGGATAATAGTTTTGTGGTGCAAGATGAGAAACTATCATTAAACAAGCAATTTAAAAATGTACTTCACAGTAGTCTGCAGTGGTGACAAGTTTTGAATAGCTATGTCCAAACAAAAGATCAAGTTTGCAGCCCTGTGAAATCTATGCTAGTATGATGCTATTCCAGTCTAGATGCACACAAAAATTTCCCAACACTTGATACCACCAGTTTGCCAAAAGGTTTTAATCCTGGCAAAGAGCCAATTCAAAGTTAAGGTTGGTAGTTTTCATAACACTAAAGGATAAACATTAGGAAAGCATACATGTGGCAAGTTAAAGGCTACCATTACAGCTGGCTAATATCTGGATATCGATGTAGCACAAACGTATCCCATTTATCCCAAAAAATGAAAAATGAAATAATTACACAAATATCCTTTAATAGAATGTTACTGTCTTGAGCCATTTACTGTCAATATCTTTGCAAATGATCGTAGCAGACAGATTGAACAGCTTTTCTGTTTTCAGGATTAAAATAAATAAATTAGGTTTTTTCTGATTTTTTTTTTTTTTAATTTCCTATGACAGAAAATTCAGTTTCTTTTAGCCTGTAGTCTATAAGAATTTTGAAGAGATCAAAATCGTAATGCTTATTTGTATTGAGACTCATAAGCCTTGTAAGGAGCTACTTTGGGCTATAAACATTTGTTTGGCTTAGACATAGATAAATGGCTGTAGGCATCCAAGATAGATTTCTACACCTCTTCTCACCTGCTGGAAAAGGTACAGAGATGATCCCTTATATTTATCCTTTCATTAGGCACCTTTAGCTACAACAAGCTATGATATGTATCCCAATAGGTAACGCAATGGCTGAGCCAACAACAGAAACAGGATTTCAATTGTAGAAGACAGTGTGCAAGAGGCAGCTTTAGAAAGCAGATTCACAGTAGAAGTGGTAGATTCAGAGATATAGGATAGTTCCTGCTGCTCATGAGCCTTTTTGATGAGAGCAATTCACTCAGGAGTCAAAGCCCTTCACCTCTGCAAGAGGCACACATCCCCCACTTCTCTTCAGAATGTTACGGAACGAAATCTTGTTGCTTACTCTGCAGCCAGTTGTCAAACTTTCAGACAAGGGGTGAAAACTGAGTTATATCCTGGAGTTTTGTCTCTCCCTTAATTGTGCTTATGCATCTAATTCAGCACCCATTAAGTGGAGAATATGCATATAAAATATTTTTAATTTCACTGGGACTAAGTATCCGAATACAAATATAGTCACCTACAAACAATATATATTATATTAGGTTACAGAGTCAAGTGTTTCATTCATGATGTGGTTTTTCAGTGTCTTCATTCCTAACATTCTCTTGCATCACTGATAGAAAAAACCCAACACAAAATAAAATCAGTGGATGCTGCATTCTTGAAAGTATTCAAGGGCATACTGGACAGAGATTTGGGCATTTTGATTAATGGAAGGTTTTCCTGTCCATGCCAGGAGGATTGGAACTTGATACTATTTAAAGCCCTTTCCCTGCCAAAACATTCTATGATACGGTGATTTCAAGCACTTTCTAGCAGACTTCCACAATGTATCACAAATGCTTAGATTTTTGGGTGTTAGAATTACTTCAAGAAAGCTCGATTAATACAACTGCACAAAAAAGTTTAAGAGAAGAAGGAATTAATTTAGAACAACAGTAACACCACTGACAAAAATGTCTTATTGCTGAGACAATTTTTCACACTTACTTGATTTCAGCCAAGCCAGATATCACTGAAGTGAACTTTTTTTTTTTTACTTTTAAAAATTCTAAGAAATAATCATTCCAGTCTGCTCAGTCATTGTTTAACATTGTTTTGATCCAAACAAATTATGCATTTGTAATGAAAAATAAATTTTATACAATAGATAACTGAAAAAAAATTCTACTTGCATAATTTGGCATTCAGCAATAGACTCTGAAGAGCTGATCTTACTCCTAGAAGGCAAATAAGGACCTTCTATAAGCCAGTTTCTTTTCTAAGTGCCACTTAAAGCAGAAAATCAGTAGTTCAAAATTAATTCTTTATGGGAAATTGTTGGAAGTCTCTGACGATTTATCAACATTTCTACTGAAGTTATATAAATTGTCTAATATATTTTGTTTATGTTCTGTTTACTAGTATTAATTTAGCTGAGTTAGCCCAAACAAAACTTTCATGATACAAAATATCTATTACATTATTGTACACTTATATAGATATTTAGAGGGTAATTATTTGGCTTGAAATCAAAATGTAATAGAAGCTCGATTAAATGTAATAACATACAATAAAAGAGTCTCACATGAAAAACAGTGGAAAAATTTTAACATCAGACTACAAATTGTACTACTTTCTATTTTTATTTGTTTTCTTTTTTTAGATCCACTGGCCTAGTACACCTCTTCAAGCAGAAGAATGCATAATTAAAGGAAGAGATGCTGTAAGTATCATCTAATATAAGTCAAATATACTTTAATTATAGCTTTTGCTGATCCAAAACAAGGACTCAGGAATGTCTAACTTTCAGACAGATCAAAACAGAGACATAATTGTGTGTAGATGCTTAAAACTGTGTAACAACCAAGAATATACTAAATTATTAGTTTAATTGCTTTTCAAAGCAGCTCATAAAAAGGCAATGAACATTTTGATCATTTGAGCTTTCTCCTAATGTTTTTTTCTAATGATATCAAGGAAGATACCTTAGAAATTCCCTTCTCCCAATTCTTTTTCTCTTTTTTTTCATACACATAGATTACCTTCTGTGTTTAAACTTCTTCACATTCCAAATCATTTTTAAAATTTAGAATCTCTAGAATACATTAAAAAAGTAACAAAATTATCAGTAGTTATAAAGTGTACTTTTGCTCCATAGGTTTTTCTGACATACCAATATAAATATTGTATTTTAATGAACCCAGAAGCTCTACTGTTCCTGTGATTCAATGCTTAAACTTTAATCATTTCCCAGAAAAAGACATGAAAGCTCACCAATACACAGAGTCTGGTATCATTTACACCACAGGATGAAAGTTCTTCTGGATGGAAGCTCTTTATAATTTTGCAGTGCACCAAGCTCATTATCTGCAACTCATAAAAACAAAGCACATAAGACACCTAGTAAATCTCACAGCTGCAAGAGCTCACACCAATTTGATAATGATGATAGTTTTACAGCAACAGTGATAGAAACATCAATGGGCAAAATGCTTTCCACAAAAGCACAGCAAACAAACAGCCTTGATGATAACCACCACATATTCAGAGTGAAGTCTAGGAAGCAATATAATTTTTTCTTGAAATGTCCACATCAACAGAATAGGTGAATCAGATGGAAAATAGTATAAAAATAATAAAAAAAACCCAGCATAGTACATTACTCCTCACACTATCCTGGCTTAGAACTGATCGTTTTGTACTTATATTAGTAGTTCATTGCATTTTTCTGGATGTTTTTGGAGCCTTGAGATTTTCAGGTGCCTTTGGTTGAATATAGTGATTTTCTATATTGTCTTAAGTTCATGGTCATATTAAATGAATCAAAAACAGAAATTGTTTTTTATTTAATACGATCCCTAGCCATAAGTTGTTACTACTGTTAGAACCCTGCCACCTTTCCTTCAACACTACACGTTAGATGTATTTTCTTATATTTCAAAAATATTATTTGGGTTAAATAAACACAGAAATAGTTATGGGTGTTCTAATGGAATGTAAAGTTTTCCCCCTCAGACTTGTGAGATTCCCTAAAATTCGAGTTCTTTTAAAATCCAGTCTTCTAGTATACCTTCAAATATGCACTGGAATGAATGTGATAGTTTAAAAAATTAACATGTTTCCCATATTTTCCATGTAATGTGGAAGTCAGATGCCCTGATTTTTAAAAGGAAAAGAACAGAATTAACAAAAACAAAAGCAAAACAAACAAACAAACAAACAAAAAAAAAAACCAAAAAAAAACACAACAAGACTCCAGAATACATTAAAATTGTAAAATCCATTAAAATTGTGAAAGCTGTAAATATTTTAATACCAAACAATATGAATTAATATTCTGATTCCCGTGTGACTCCTAATTTATGTGTGGGACAACTGAATGGGTGCAGCTAATTAATTCTAGGGAATGCTTAGTAATTTTCATTAGCATGCTCAGTAGTTAGTGTACTGCAATTGCTCAACCTGAAAAGAAGCTACGTTGAACAAAACATTTTCTATTATTTGCCTTTTCATCTTCCTTTTTTTTTTTTTAATAACCATAAATGAATAAATGAATATTGGCTTAATGGCATTATAACTTAAAATCGACAGTTTGACATTTGTAAGTTTAGAATTCTATTTTTCACAATATAAAGTCTCTGAGAAAAAAAACAAACAAAAAAAAAAAACCAAAAAAAAAAAACAAAAAAAAAAACAAAAAAAAAAAACAACAACTCATCAATTATCTTTCAAAGACCTCTTATTTATTTCCATGCTATTTCCTTCTTTATTTTCCTTTGCAAAATATCTGGTACTGTGCAAATAATATTATGCAAGACTGATATGTAATAAGCATTTCAGTGCTGAGAAACTTTATACATTCTTTAGTAGCCATACTGAAGTTAAACAACAGGACAATTTGATAAGCTTTTACAACCTGTATAAGGTTATCAGTAGATATTGTAGCAGTAAAACTTCAAGTACGGTAGTCATAAATACAGTTTCAGAAAACTTTCATCCAGTGTGCCAGGAAACACACCTGTTGGCCTGTAGTGTGAGAGCTTTTGATCCTTTCAATTAGTTTATCAGCACTGGAAATCATTCAGAAATAAAAATCAAATTCTGTTGTTACAACTAACTTTCACACTGAGAAACTTCAGATTAATAAAATTCCACTGATCTAATAATGCATCTAAGAAGTCTCCTAAAGATAACCAGAATATTTAATTGTTTAAATAGGAAGTAGGAAGATGACTTATTTTAATGTTCTCCTGCGTGATGCATCTCTTCCTTTTTACGTGTATAGGATATTATCAGAGGGGCCAGTAGCAAAAGCTATTTGTCTGATGGCTCCCAGAATAGCACCTTTTCCAACTTGTATATAATTTTGATAAAGCCTAGCCATTTGGAATTAGTTTTTCTATATTTGGTGTCTCTCTTATTCTGTTTTTTAGCTGCAGAAAATGTCAGGCATTTCTATGAAGACACGTAGAAAAAAAAATAACCCATGAAGAGAGAAAAATAGTCCTAAGATCTCTCTCCTTCTAAAGCTCTTTTGAGACAAAGATGAAGAGATATGTGGATAACAAAAGGAAACCATGGATAAAAAAGCACAACAGCGTAGAGGCAGAACAGAGGGCTATGAGTCAGGAAGGTCATACTTTGGCAGGGAGGGAAGACAGAGGGAAGAGCATCAGTGCCAAGTGAAGCACCTATTTAAAAATTACAAAGCATCCTTTTTGTTGCCATTCCACTGCTGCTGGTTAGAAAACATTTGTGAAGCACAAGTGAAATGGGTATTTCTGTCTTTGAGTACTAACTGATGCATAGATGATGTCATCCCACTAATCTGAACTCATTTATTTCTCTATCAACTGACATTTGGGGCTTTTTTTCAGTGGGTCTAAAAATCCTGACCAGGTGAGAGACCACATAGAAAAAGACTTAAAAAAAAAAAAAAAAAAAAAAAGTTTCCAGAAACTTATGATATTAAACAATTTTTATCTGTCCTTTGCATATACATATTTAATTATACAACAGGTTACACACCTGTGTAGGTTTCCTGCTTCCTTCAAAGATTCAGTGAATGACAGGTTGGAAGGGAACTCTGAAAGACAGCTGATCCACCCCACCCTGGTCAAGCAGGCACACATAAAAAAGTAGCTGGTGCACAGATGCCCAGTCTCCTACGAGAATCAGGTCCTACAAATGTGAGGCTCCTATCTGTCTGCAGAAAGCCTCACCTATTCATTCTAATTTTTCATGTCGCCTAGAGCATGAATGAGTGATAATGTCAGCTACCCCTGTCTTCCCTTTAATCTTAACCCATAAACTCTCAGTTGGCTCCTCATCCATCTCCAAGCAGAACTCAATGCACTCTAACTGCTCTCTCACATAAAGGACAACACCCCTTTATCTCACCTCCTGCAACAGACCCCCTTTCTGTCCTCCCCCAAAAGCCTGCATCCTCCCATTGCAATGGTCCCTCCAGCCATCCAACAAAATCTCCATGATCACAGCAACATCATAGTATTGCAACTGCATGCACATCCCTAACATCATCTTTATTGTTCATACTGCATGCATTATCATACAGGAATGGAGAGGCACTCCAGCATGCTGGGTTTCTCCCCAATGATTCTTGGTAGATACTTCCTTGCTTACATTCAAGTGCTGAAGGTGACTCCTTTTTGTTGATTTTGTGTTACAATTCCTGTCACATCACTATATGCCCATGTTCATTGACCTTGTCCATCACTCACTTGCAGGGTTGCTAATAACTCTCTTTTCCCCATTATTTCATTTTAAACCTTTATGTTCTAGTCAAACATCCCATTGACAAAAATAACTCTCAATTGCCATGACATATCCTCTCACTTAAAGGCTAAGGAGAAGCATATTACAAAGGATAGTTTTTCCATATGAGTTTTTATTTTATTTTGTGTTTTTTGCTCTTTTTGTTTCATAAATTTGAGCACTTGCACTGAATGATGCAAAGGACTGAAGAAAAAAAAAAGGCAGATTCTTAGTTCTGAATCTAATGTAGCTACACAAATTCTTTCCATGGCTCCACTATAGAGTTATTCTTTGGGACATTAACCTCTTGCAGATGGACATTAAAACCCAAGATTTTTCTCATATAGTCTGAAAACTGAAGAAGAGAAAAGTTTCCAAAATGAAATTCCTCCACTCTCTTTTACAAAATAATTTTAGGATAGACTTATTTGCTTTTTGGAGATATATGAGCTTCTTTATTGACTACTGAAAGAGTCTAAAAGAAAAGCATAGGTTAGAACAAAAAACTTCAGAATGGCTATAGTTAGACGAGATTACTCTCATTACAATTGCCTTAAACTTGGTATTAACATCTTAAAACCCAGGGTCTGAGTAATAGAAAGATCACACAACTAAAGAAAATGAATACAGTTTTTTCTTCACACACAGAAAATAATGACATAATGATAAAAACCCTGATCAACCAAGTCAGCAGAGTCCCAAAATAAATAATTTTATTCAGTCTCTGCTTCTAGTTCAGCAAAGGAATTGTAATGACCCCACAACTCAAAACAACGCTTGTAAGTTTGTTAATTGTAATATTTATGAAGCTGCAAATACACTAATGAGTCCCAGGGTATTGCCTTCAGGAAACTGAATAATTTCTTCTTCAACTGAAGACTTGAGTGGTGGAACTTAAAAAAGCATGAGGCTACACAATATAAAAAGTACTGATGAGCAATGCATTACACACACATACACACAAATGCAGTAGTCTTATGGAAAAATAAAATAAAAGTGTTACTTCCTTGAAATAAAGTTCATTTAACTTGATAAATAAGCCATTTGTTGACTGTTCATATATACTGCTCTCATTTTAATGCATACTGCATATAATAAAAGCTAATGCAACAAATATCTAGATTTGTGAAATGTATCCAAGATTGAAGAAGCACAAAATATGTTTTATAATTTAATCACTCCTCACTAGTTAAGTGCCTATAGTAAATTGTGATAAATCAGAGCTCTAAACTTCCTTCCAAACATGTTGTAAGTGTCCATTCATGGATTTGGTGAGACTGAAGTAGTAGTATAAAGTAGGAGAACTAAAATTTTATAAATAACAGAAAAGAAATTATCAGTATGAAGAGCATCATCTGATACCTAAGATATTAAAAAAAAAAAAAGTTTATTTTTTATCATTTTTAATAGAAATGCTAAGATTTTCCTATGTTTATGCTTTATGTGAACTAGGATGAATGTGCTAATTACATCCGTGTCCTTCACCGATACAATAGAACGCATCTTCTGGCCTGTGGAACAGGAGCTTTTGATCCAGTTTGTACCTTTGTAAGAGTAGGACATCCATCAGAGGTAAGAAATTTGTTTTACAGTAATGATTCTTCTTGCCTATATTACAGCAAAGTTAAAAATAAATATTTAAATTGAAGTGCTGGGAGTTTTCAAACAAATCATATAGAAGATGTTTTCCCTAATGAAATGTGATAGTAGTCCAAAATTGAGAAAAGGAGAACTAATTAATGATTTATATAGTTGTATTTTGGAGAATTAGGCAAAGAACTTCAAGTCAATATTTTTGTTTGTTTTAGGAAATAATGTACTGCATTGCACATACTTAGTTGGATGGAATGTGGAAAAGCTTAATTGTTTTTTTATTGATTTCAGCTTCTTATTGTTGATCATATTTACAGAATCACAGAATTGTAGGAATTCAAGTATATGTTAGCTCCTTGATGACAATTTTAACTGTTTGAACTGTTTGAAATCTAGATTAGACTAGCATTAAAGAATCACTAAATACACCAATCTCTCATTTTAAATATACTTAGGCAGTTAACCTAGTCCAGGTTATACCAATAAACTATGTATTACTTGATGGACATATAAATGCTGACTGACTGATCTTGCTTACATCCTGCTCCTATGTATAGTCTAAAGAACCTCTGGAATTAATGAGTGTAGTCTGAAATTCCCTAAACAAACAAACAAACAAACAAACAAACAAAAAATAAATAAGGGAAGCCACCTTGAGGGACTGAATTTCTCCACATTTAATAAGGTTGAAACTCTGAGTAAAGGTATATATTATACTCCTAGGTGTGGACCTTGGAAATCCATTTATTAAAATTGAAATTCAATTTTGAAATTGTTCACATAAAACTATCCCTTACATATACCTAGTAATGCTGAAGAAATTGTTTATTCTACTATGAGGTAAAAAAAAAAAAATATGGTAGGGAATCCCATTGTTTATGAAAAAATCAGTTGATTTGTATCTCAGTACAAAAAAGACAGGGATCTCTTGGAAAGAGTCCAGCGGAGGGCCACAAAGATGGTGAAGGGCCTGGAGCATCTCTCCTATGAGGAAAGGCTGAGTGAACTGGGTCTGTTCAGCCTTGAGAAAAGAAGACTGAGAGGGGACCTGATCCAGGTCTATAAATATCTAAGGTGTGGGGGGCAGAATGGCGAGGCCAGGCTGTTTTCAGTGGTGAGTGGAGACAGGACAAGGGGAAACGGCTGGAAACTGCAGCATAGGAAGTTCCGCACAAATGTGCGCAAGAACTTCTTTACAGTGAGGTGACGGAGCACTGGAACAGGCTGCCCAGAGAGGTGGTGGAGTCTCCTTCTCTGGAGATGTTCAAGACCTGCCTGGATGCCTACCTGTGTGACCTGCTGTAGGGAACCTGCTTTGGCAGGGGGTTTGGACTCGATGATCTCTGGAGGTCCCTTCCAACCCCTACAATTCTGTGATTCTGTGATTCTGTGATTCTGTGATCTATTTAAAATGGAAATGAAAATGCATTATATTTAAAGTTTTATGCAGATGATCCTACACAAATTGGAAAAAGTCTGCTGTATCCTAGAAAATTAAAGATTGGTTTCGAATTATGCTGTATAAGTTTATGATCTGCCTACCTTCATTTGAAACTGTACTACATTTTTTTTGTTGATGGTGATGATGTTTTTTTACTATTGTTTCTTGCCAAACTTTTATCTTGTTTTGTGTGATTTCCTGTATTTAAGTATGCAACTACAAAGTGAATGTTATTCCAGCCCATTCCAATCCAACCTACTCCTAGCTATTCTATATCAGAATTATTCAGTTTCAGCTTAAGTTCTCCAAACAACCAGGTTTTATTCTATCTTTTACATCACACTTAAATTGTCATTCCATATTTAGCTAACAGTTTTGTACCCAGTAAGTCATAGAAGGTATATTTCATACTTGTCTCATATCTGCAGTATTGCTTATTGATGTACTGGTCAGGATCATCAACAGGAAAACAAAGGATAGATGGTAGAGCTCATTTAAAAGATGCAGTTGACTCAAATAAACATTAATCACAAGTATGATTTTTTTTAATAAACTCTACTCCTTATATGATAATAAAGTATTTCCTTCGGATACATGTACAACTTTTAATAATTCTGAGTAAAGAAGCGTACATTTGAAAAAATGAAACTGAAGCAACACACAGCACCAGAAATAAGAATCCAATCTATGCCATGCATCATCATCTTCTGTTAAAATCAACAGCGTTCATTAGTTCAGAACCCTTAACAGGACTTATTTTTGAAACTATCAGACACTGTCTTCTTAAATTCTGGAACTAAACTATAAGCAATTTTAAAACAAAGAAATTTTTGCATGTCTTTACCACTATTATGAACCTTGTGTCAGACTTCCTGAGATAGTTTAAAAGAAGCAGTGTCTATTTATTTAGGAACTTTACTTAAACAACAAGCCAATAAAAATAGAAACAAACAAACAAACAAAAACACAAAAAAATGAAAACCAAAGTTTTTATATAAGAATGTGTGGTTTACGATTCCCCCCCTTACACATCATTGTCTTTTCTTTCCTTCTTTTTAGTTGATTATTTTCACATCTAAAATTGAAGTTCTAAAATTTTATCCACACTGAAGTCATGGGAAAAATACCATTTTTCTGTTTGTGTAGACCAACAGGAAACATATTTGCTACACTAGGAGCTATAAGTAGTAGCTATACCAGTTTCCATTATCTGAAAAATTGACTATAGGATTAAAAAAGACAGGTGCCATGTGTATGGTTGTTTAAAAATAACACATGGTATGTGGTTGAGTAGAAAATTGTAATCTTGCAGGATAAGGATATCTTGTAACTGCAGAAAGGAAAGGAACTAAATCTGTCCTCAGAAAATTGCAGTTTAAACTCTGTTGATCTCTCCAGTGAGACTATCCTGAGAAAGTAACTTCCAATTACTGTCAATTTCCTCCACCTCAGCTCTCATCTCCTTCTGTCTGACTTTCATGGAAAGGAGAATAATAAATGATTAGCAGCTGCTCTCCAAGGTCTTTAGGTCCAGCCATGGAAATATCCTAATTAGGGAATACTGTGATCCCTATATGGCACTGCTGGTTCCTAGCCAGCCTCACTGAAGACTCATGACATTATACTCCATGCATTTTTCTCAACTCATTTTTATTACTAAGTATAGTTATAGAAAAACAACTTCTGAACAGAATGTCTCTAGGTAGTACAAGGTATATTTGAGGTTTATATACCTTTTTTGAACAGTAACACTTTGCAGATTTTTAGACATACAGGGAAAGAATTGTTATAGCAGACTTCTCTGCATCTATAAGCCTAGCTATCAAAGCACATATAGCTAGATTCACTCTTCCATGTGGAATTAGCATAGAAGAAATAGAAGAAGTGCGTGCTTTGTGCCTCCTACCTTAAACATAAGTCTTGGTATTGCTTTCTGAGCTAATTCTCCAGAAAAGATGCAGCCCTCTCTGTAAAAAAACAAACAAGGTTCTTGAATTATAATGTGCATGGTAATAACAACTAGAGCTGTAGGCATTAAAAACTTGAAAAAATAGTAGGATTACATATTCTACAACCTTCACACTTGCAATTTACTGTAGAAGCCAAAATATTTTGTTCTGGTGGAACAAAATGTCCAGCTGATGCTCTTGTTCTTCAGTCTCAGTAGTCTTCATGTTGCAGAAAAATATATTTTGCTAGTGGTTAATAATGAGTGTTTACATGAAGCCAGCCATTTCTGAATAGATGTTTGGTAAGCAATTGAAGCATTACAGCTCTTCCTTTGGACTGTGATCATATCCCATAGCCATGTTTACGACTGTATTCATACTGTATGGCAATTTCTGTCCCAATCCAATATTTAGCATGTTTTTGTGAGGCACATGCCAGCTTGTAAAAAGGAGTACTCTGCCTCTTCTATAAGTCTTACATTCTTATTCAGCTACAAATCTATATTTCCTCATCAAAATCAGGTTTGAGCTGTGTCTTGCAATAAACTGAGCTCATATCAACAAGTATTTGAAACCAGAAGACTTTTGTCCCAAAACAAGGCAGAATTTGGTTGTCTAATTGGTGGATCACTACTCCTTGGAAATTACTGGAAATCAGAATCTTTAAGCTTCTCAAAAAAAAAAAGAAAAAAAAAAGAAAAAAAAAAAAAAAGCAGGAGAATGTTCTTTCTCAGTTTTTCTAGAAAAATATTAACATAATATAATATTTTCTAGAAAATCTTCATATAGTTTAATATGCAGTAACTGAAATCTTTCACAATGAAGTTTTATTAATATGCATTACACATTGAAACTCTCCTTACATGCGTTTTATGGCTTATAGAAGTATCACAATTCTAGTTATTTTAATGTTTAAATAGTTTTTAGTAATTTTTAATTATTTCAATTAAATATTTAAAGTATTACACTTGAGCATGTTGTTCAAATAAAACAACAAGCAATATTGGTAGGATTCAACCTCAAACTTGTGTTCTATCATCAGAGTATAAACAAATATTTTTCCCAAATCAAATTACCTATAACTTTTATGATACACCACATACCCATTTGAAAAATTAAATGTATAACATATTATATAATATTCATTATATTATATTACATTACATTTTACATATATAATATATATGCATAAATATATATATATATATATATACATATATGTGTAGTTATATTACTGCTAAATCATACTGCTTTGGATTTCCAGGCTGTACATTTTAGTAAAGCTGTTGCCAGATATTACCTTTCTAAAAATATACAAGTGTAGTTATTGACAGTAACAAGCAGGGTTTTTTTGGGTTTTTGTCTCTCTAAATACTTTGACCCTGTTGAATATTTTCTTCCAAATTCTAAACATTTCATCAAATTAACTAACATTCTTCTGTCATTTAGAAATAAATTACAAATGGGTGAAAATATGTGCTAACTTTGCAGAAGGAACAATTAAGCTGCTGTTACCAAGAATGCGCTAGATATTTTTGTCTACAAAATACAAAGCAATTGCCAACCAGTAATGGAGCTTATTATCTTTA